GGTCCCTGATGCTTTGCTAAGCTTGTTCTAAGTAGGTGCTTTAGACCACTGAGCCATCTCTCCAGCCCAACATCTATTTTTAAAGTACACATTAGTAGAGACATTTAAAGGTTACTTGAGTTAATATATACATATAAAAAAAAAACCTTAGAAAATTGCACAGCACAGAGAAAATGGTCAGTACTATTACTGCTGTCATCAGCTTTTGGATCACAGCCACTATGGAGATGGCTCTTGTTTCAACGGCTGCTGGTGAGACTGATGGGAAAGGATATTTTTACTTATTCATATAAAGTCAAACTTTAGTACCTATGGATAATAGACTAAAGCATAATAAACAGCTTAAAAAACCTATTCAGTTTTCACATTCAGTTTGACCAATTTAAGGGTGAAGGCTGCAAATGCTATTCAAGCCAAAAAGACAGAAATGCAGGTAGGTTTATCACTCACTATTTCAGAAGAAAGTCTTCCAAATTCTTGTAAGAAGTCTCGTACTGTTATCTCTCCTCTCATAAATCTCATCCAGGGTCCACTTTCACCATCTTTGGCCAAGACCTTCAATATAGTTCCAGCAGGAATACGGTTCCGCAACTCCCATTCTACAGGAAGTAAAATATTAAAAAAGGAGTGTACTGCCACATGGCTGGGGCTTGGGGACGCCAAGGAGACGGATGGTACCAGTTGCCAGGGTGTCGCTGTGGTGCCTGGAAGGGTGCTACTGGGAACTCAGAGGTAAGAACTGCAAAATTTCAGCCTTGGACCTCAAAGGGAACAGCTGCTCATCTGCATAAGAGCACAGTGCTGTCTAGCATCAGGTCCTTATCACGAGCTTGAGATGACCCTGGACACCGGATGCTGAACTTTGATCCTGGGCCTGTCACTGGAAGGACCACAGTCGATAGTTCACTTACCCAATACAGTACATACTGAGGAACTCCACAAAAGGGTACGCTGGATTCGGCCAACGCCTCACACGAAACTTCATCTTATAAACTACATAATCCTTTGTGGCAGCGTTGCTGGAACGCTGAAGTATTCACTTGGGAGATGCTGTCTTTGTGGAACAGCTAAAAGCTGAACATAATGGTTCATGCCCACGATCCCAGCACTTGGGAGGCTGAGGAAGGAGGATCACCCTGAGTTTGAAGCCAACGTGGGCTACATAGTAAATTCAGCCTGAATTTTAGCCTGAACTACACAGTGAGACCTTGTCTCAAAAAAAAACCCCAAAAACAAACAAACAAACAAAAAAACCATAGGAGAGGTATCAGCACTGTGTAATACTAGGAACACCTCAACAAATGTCATTTCTTATACAAGATTTGTTTTTTGGGTCACAGATACAGCTCAGAGGCATAAGCACCTGCCTGGCAAGTGCAAGGTCCTGAGTTTGATCCCTGGTACCGCATTAAAAACAAAAAAAAAGATTGTTTCTTTGATGTTCACACAATAGCACTGTTGGGGATATGGAGAGAAATATATATGTGCGTATATATGTGTGTTACGTATAAAACTCAACTATGTCTCTAAGACATGATACATTTTGTTTATATCCTTGTTTTGAAGACATTTTTATTGGTTTCTCTGATAAAACAGCACTTATAGATTTGAAAATATTTCTGACAATATAAAGTACCAAAAAAAGTAAAGTGACAAGCAATTGCATTCTTTAGAAGTGTTACCGGTGTGACATATGATCTTTGAGACCAGCTAGACTTTAAAAACTCAATCTAAAAATAATATATCTTTAATTTTAGAGCAAAGTGTACAGTCCTTTTGATAGGGACAGAGTTGGCAAGCCTGAGGGGGAAACTGGCAAGTGCGTGCGCTGTTGCTGATGGACGATAAACAAGTATAACCTCTACAGAGAGGCATATATATTCAATGTAGTAATTCCACTTTCAGGAATTTCTTTTAGATCTGTGTACAAAATAAGCAAAGATTATATACAAAGATTTTTGTGCAAAATTTCTTTCATAAAAATAACTAGAATTAAATTATATATTCCCAAAGGGCTTGTTCAGTCCATTATGGTAAAGCTATATAGGAACGCCATACAGATATAAGATGTACAAAATAGACTAAAGGTCAACAAACACGTTTGCCTCCTACCTTTCTATTTTTCTGTTTTGCTTTTGTTTATGTGTGTGTGTTGCATGTCAGGGATTAAACCACTGAGCTACTACACACCCTGCCTTTCCTCCCTGCTTTTATATGTAAAGTTTTATCGGAACATCTATTCCTTTACTACCTCACATTTATTCCTTTTCTACCATCTATCAGCACTTTGTCACTAAGATGATACATGTGAATAGTAATGATACAGACTGTATGACTCAAAGTACAAAGCCTATAAAGCCCTTTGTAGGCCAAGTTGATTAGGGAGAGCATGGTGGCAAATGCCTATAATCCCAGGACTCAGGAGCCTGAGGGAGGAGGATGGCTACAAGTTGAAAGACAGCCCAGATCAGTGATGGTGCACCATGGCACATGTGCCACAGCGGGCTGTTAACATCACCAAAAGCACTAAAGGTTTTGCCATCGCTGGCCTAGACTAAGTAGTGCATTAAAGGCCCTGGGTTCCATCCTTACTGCTGAAAGAAAAACAAGAGGATTCAGCTGTCAGCATGAAGGCTGGGGTGGAGGTTGAATGGTCTAGGGGAGTTGACAGTTTGAAACAGGCAGCTCCAATGTACACTAGAGGACAGAATGGGGGGTGGCTGAGAGGCTCAGACAGTGCTAGGCCCAGTGAGGTTGGAGCACCGAACCCAGCTCACGCAGCCACTCTGCCAGCTGGATGACTTCCTCAGCAGTGCCGGAAAGCCTAGACAC